CCGGCCGAACCGGGATCATGTATACCATGGCGCTGGGCCTGTTTCCCTGCCAGGAACACCTCGGTTATACAGAGATGGAAAGAGAGCTTGAAACGTTTGCGACCTTGGCTGAAGTTGGACCAAGGATGTACTGTAGGGTATGGGGTCTTTCTGGGTTTAGGCTGTTTGTCTGTGGGGTGAGCCGCTGTCAACGAGCTAGGTGCGCACCGTTTGATGCATTGTGGTTCTTCGGTGTGCTGTACCTCGCTTGACGGAAGGGATTGGGAGTGAATCGAACTCCTGACCTTTGCAGAGTTTGCCTGGCTTCGGCTTCAGACAAGGGTAGCTCCGAGTCTCAGAACGGAAGCCCAAAAGCTTTCCGAGCGATCCCGAGCAAGTCGCACTAGGGCTACTAGGGCTAGGGTCTTACCGAGGCGAGAGCTACCCTGGATCACGCCGTCTGTTGTGCCGATTGACTTGTTCTTTTTCCGGCGCATCTTCTCCAGGCAGGTGCATACTTTGACCGGTTCTGCTGTCGGTAGTCGGTTGTCCCTATCATCTTCAGTTAGGATGGTGGGTCACAGCCATCGCCTGATAGTTGCAAGCATCCTGTATGAGTGCTGCCGAGGCTGTACAGCCACAAAGCTGCACCTAGCGGAGTTGTATGCCCGTGAACGGGCGTGTGGGACCGGCGCCGGACCTGTTGCCGAGGTCAACATGGCGATAGCCACGGGGAAGTTCCTGTTAGCGTATTTCAACGAAGTGTTGTTCGACTCTTTCGTTTGATGCAGATGGATCGGCAGGCTGCCAATGCATGTGCCACCTGTGATTGCGGCACTTTATGCACGTTTGAACACGCTACTATGTTCACGATTCCCATGCCGACAGCATGACGTTCTGAACGGATCTCCTGCATAACGCACAGCAGAGACTCTGTGAGAGGCTGATGAGTTCTCGGCTGATGAGTACGACGTCGATGGTTCTGGCGCAGTTGGGTGGTATGAATTTGTGACTGTCTGGCGAAAAGCCGATCCTTCGTCTTGCATTTGCACAGGGGTCTCACATAAAACCAGGCTGTGCCAGGATGCAGTCGCTGTTGTAATGCATCCTTCAACTGGCCGTATCCTATCCCCTTCGTGACGTGGATGTGTACCTGTCCACTTTCAGCAGCGAGCCGAATCGCATCATAGTTTTTGTCTTGAGCGCAGTCGCTGCATGCGGAAGTGGCCACAGTATCTCAGATAGACTCCTGTGCCTGCTACTGTCGTCACCTACCGTGTGCTGAAAAGGACAATCTGGTTGTGATTCGTTCTGCAATGATCCCAAAGTGCACTTTGGCATCCTGAGGATGTCTCCGTCAAGCTCTCGCTTCCCGAGCGAATTTTTGTGTTAATGGAAGAGCCTACATCGTCTTTCCTCGGTGTCATGGCAAGTGCCCCAACCTAATTGGAGCTTTACATAACGGGTGGGCAGGGCTTGAGATTTGGTTTATGCTAAAAATGGTTTGTTTTGTGGCTTGCGAACTCAGGTGCCCTCCTGAACGTCTTGATTTTTCTCTCGTGCGTGGCATGGCTGTGAAGATAAGCTCATCCGCACCACTGCCGTCACGAACGATTCAGAGACCCGTGGAGTTTTCGGGTGGGTCGGGGAAGGGGATCAGATCGATTCATGGATTGAGGGAGCTACGAGGGAACATCAGGCAGGTGCACAATCAAGTAGGCATTAGTTACGTAATGTTCCTAGTGCAATTGCGTTGTGCGCACGCATGCGCATGCAGATGCATATGCCACAGACCGCTCGCGCTTATCGCTCGATTCGTTTTGCACCCCCGTGCGCTCACTGGGCAACTCCCTCAGTCGCACGCTCAGATTCTTGGCTCTATTGATGTAGCTCACTTGTATTCTTACCGCTACCACCCATTTCGGCTACTAGTAGCTTTCTTCGTGCATGACTTGCCGGTCAAGTGCGAAGCGGTGTGGCGGATCTGTTTCGCCTTGGAAAGGGAGGAAACTGTACCGCCTTACCCTGCCTGGCCATACCTTGCAGGTGTGCTTCATGATTGCAACCCTCCCGGAGATGAAAGAGTATCCGTGCGACGGGTGTGAGCCGGAGCAGAGGAGGCCTTATCGCCCAGTGTTGACGGTATATCAGTGAGTCTAGTCACAAGCGAAGCAGCAGATACGTTAAAGACTACTGCAAAGACTGTCGCACAGTGTTTTGTTCGTGGTGTTTCGATGCCTTCAACCCTGAGGGAGTTCCAAGCCTTCGAATATTTTTGTGTTGGGATCTTCGCACTGGAGCTTCGTGGCAGCAAGTTGGACCCAACCTCAACAGAAACAGCTGCAATCGCTTGAGCCAGCAATGCCATCTCAGGTATATCGTGAGGGTGTGCTCTGCGCCATTTACGAGATCCGAACTGTTGCACTATGAGCAGTTTTTGGAGCGCGTCACAGACAACCAGGTCCGGACATTGACGGGAGTGTGTAGGGGGATGTCATAAGGATTGTCATGTGGCAGTCCGCGTGAAAGCTAGTGACCCTTGGTGGGACTGGCGGCTGCTGCCAGATGTCAAGACGTGAAGCCGTCGCCTGTCCAGGCCAACTTTAGCCCTTCCCGCTTCGTTCGTTTCATGGGCTTTGTCATTCAGCCCATGAACCTGATCGACCTTTTCGAGACTCGGCTGGGTTCTTCCCGAAGCCTGACAGTCTTCCCTTCTCATCTCCAGTTTCGCACGTGCTTTGACCAAGGTAATCGTTCCCTTTGTGGTTGAGTCGTCCTTGAGGATCACGACTGCAAACTTCACGGTATTGCGTGTTCTGCGGCTGACGCGATTATTTCGACTGGTAAAGCTGGGTAAATCCTTTGAAGTCCTGCAGATCATCGGCAGAGTCTTTCACAAGTCCATTGCCATGTTTTGGGTTTTTGCTGTCAACTTTTCTTTGGCACTTTGCTTCTCTGCTGCGACGATCTACTTTGTGGAGGGCGGCGAATGGGACGATCAAATGAAGACCTACATGCGAACCGGGCATAATGGCGAAAGGTCTGAGACTCCTTTCCTGAGCATTCCGCATTCCTTCTGGTGGGTCTTCGTGACTTTCACCACGGTTGGCCGCAGGCTCAGTTATTTTGCTGCGGCCGGACGCGGGGCCGGGAAGATCGACTCGAAACGGTAGGAGGATTTCTGGGTCTTGTGAGCTGAGGATACGGTGATGTCGTTCCGGAGACCTTCTTGGGGAAGCTGATCGGGGCGAGCAGCATGCTGGTTGGCATTTTCGTCTTGGCACTTCCTATCAGCGTAATCTCGACAACCTTTGGCGAAGTTTGGCACGAATGGAAGGAAGAGCTTCGCCTAGAGGCGCAATCCCGCGAGGAGGATCTGCGAAGTGTTGAGCTCGCTCTTCAGATCATCGAAAACCGCACGCACCTGACGATCGAGATCTACGATCACTCTGATCGTTATCCTCCAGAACTTCTGGGACATGTGCAGTGGCGCACTCTCCCGCTGGACTCGCGAGAAACTGTCGAATGTGGCGATGATTCGTTTCCCATCAAGAGCCTGGGCTTGCGCAGATCAACCAAACGCTATTTTCAGCCACGGGGGTTGTCGTTTGCTTTTGCTGCGATTTTCTCGGAATGCCTGACACCCCGAACAGGTTTTCCTATGACTTCGCTAGTTGTAGATTGGGCGGGCCATGTTGTTCCTGGCGTTAAATCAAACCAACCAGCCATCCCACCCGCGTGCTTGCTGGCTATTTGTTGGAGTATGCTATGCTGGGCCTTGCCTGAGGTGTTTCTGCGTTTTGATGCACATTGTTTCGGCCCGCCCAATGGCGGCATTCCAAGTTCTAAGGAGCTCGGACAAAGTGCACGCAGATCCCTGGCGGCGCAGTGCGGGGTCAAAGTCGAAGCATCTGCGATACTGCTTCAATGACTTCAGGGCTTCCGGTGACGGCTGTTGTGTTGTTGGGAATGCGCGGTTCTGGACTTAGCGGTCAATCGGTGTTCTGATGCCCGTCATCCAAAACCACCCTGCTGACGGCCGTATGAATCCGAAAATCTTCCTGCAGTTCTGCCAGGAACGTTCACTTGGAGAGGCAGTTGTGGGCTACACTTGGACGCCTTCGGATGAGCAGGACGTTTCAAGGTACTCTGGCACTCTGGAGGCTCGGGGAGGGCAACTGCCAAATTCGGGCTTCTTCAAGAATACAGTAGAGTCAAATCTTGACTGTCATGCCCACATTGGCGGTAGATAAACATGTAGGGTGGAGATCAAATTGTCTATGAGTTTACTGAACTAGCAAATAAGAGGAGTGAATGTGTGTTGGCCTAACAGGGAGGGCGAGGGGGAAGGATGGGCGGGGAACCTGAATGCTATCACACTGCCCACGAAGCGTTTTGTTTCACTGGTTCGAGTGTGACCAAGCCGACGTTCGAAGGGATCCATTTTTGGGTCATCCCGGCTTAGTCATTTAATCCTCGCATTTGTTTCGGCTAGGGTTGTTGCTTCAGAGCCGTAGCCTATGAGTCCTCGTCACCAGCACCTTCAGAACCACCATCCACATCAACACAATTGCCACCGCCCCCATACTTATCCTCGCCACCATCACAGTCAATAACCATCATCCTGCTGCTTGCTCCTGGTGGTTCTCATCGCATGATCGCGAGTGTAAAGGAATGTTCTATCAAACCTTCCCATAGTTAGCAACTTTACGTGACTGAGTTCTACATCTTGCAGCTGCTGCTGCTTCCGCCGCTGCTGTTGCTTTTGTTGTTGTTGTTGTTGTTGTGGTTGCTGGTGTTGCT